GTCATCTAATACTCCTATTTAATGTTGTCCATTATGTGTCACAAGCTCTCAAGTAATACAGCGATATTGTATCCGAAATTCGAAGGAAGAACATACAGGTGGAGAAACATGTGAGAGTCGAATACACCCTTGGTTTCGAGGTAGTAGTGACAATCCATTAAACGCTATACCCTCAAAAGCTTATTTTTACGTAAAACATAAAATATTGTTACGAATTTTGTATTTAGATAGGTAATTTTAGCAGAATTCCAATCAAAATTGTATTTTTCTGAGTAATGTAGCGCTGGATAAATTTTAAGTGAAAGCTATGCCGGAAAATTAAGAATATAGGCGCCCATGCATTTAACATTGAGTAAATGGGTATCTCGGTAACTTATACTGAAATTGAAAAAAATGTAATTGATCACTATATTAGCTGTAACCATTATCCCACACTCTTATTGCTTTCCAGTAATTTCGAGAAACAGAAAGTACTAGAAATATCTCGTCGCCGGTTGTAAGCTATAAAAGGCCGGAGAGAGAGCATCCGAGTTCAGTTGCTTAGTTATTGTTGTTGCGAGTTGTTTAGTTAACTGCTGCTGTTATTGTTGCGAGTTGTTTAGTTAACTGCTGCTGTTATTGTTGCGAGTTCAGCGTGAGATCGGATTAGCTTTCTCTTTAGATGCGCTTTGCATTACATTTGTTTAACTTCCAAGTAGTTTGTAGTGGAACTACTGATTATACTGTGTGATACTGTGAACACTTGTACGAATATTTCTGAAGAAAGTTTCAGAGTTCCAAAATAATTCTTTTCATAATTAATATTTATTAACCTATTATCGGAAATCATTCAATATATGATTGAATGCGTGCGTAGGGGTACCGAACCGTGCGAACCCGTATGCACGCAACGATATATACACATGTATAAGATTATTTATACGTAAAACGTATTACATATATACGTTTACATATATATGTCATATGTATATAGGCAACTTATAATGTATATATGTAATATTATAACGTTTAACGTATATACGTTACTAACAGCATATATGCTTTACTTATAACACAAATCTGTGTTAGATTATTTATTCGTAATCACCGTATTTACAGGTAAAAGCGTGTTTATAGATATTTACACATAAATCATAATCTGTAAACCATTACTCCCATTTCCTTTTCAGCATTTTATTAGACCAGACCTTTATTAGAAGAAATAGTTAGCGAGTTTAAGGATTTTATATTTTCACGGGTGTCCGAGTAATACGCATTTGGTATAGTTAAAGAATGGGTTAGTGAAAAGAAAAGAAAAGAAAACAGGAGATTTAGATATTCAGGCTAAAAAAAAAAAAAAAAAAAAAAAAGAGAATAAAGTAGAAAAACTAAATTTTCTAAAAAGTAGAGGGGGGGGAAGAAAACTGAGATTCTTAAGGCTTAAGCGCAATAAACACCTCAAAAGCGGAATTTTTGATATAATAGAGGAAAGAACACAGGTGAAAAATAAGATAACAAGCATTAACAAAAGTCTTCAAATAAATGTTAATGAAACTAATAATAAGCAAATCTGAGAAAAAGAAATCAGAGAAACGAAAAGGAAAGTACAATTTACTATTTATCTATGAGGAATAGTAAAAGGGAAAGTTTCTATTTAACCTTCATAACTGTATTCTTGCAAATATACTCTCGTTATACGGGTTCCTGTTACTTAGTTTGTTGAATATTTAGTTCTGTAGCGTGTTCTTTTTATTATTACCCTGAAATAACGTTTTTACTTATGCAATTAAATTCGATATATAAGCGAATACAGTAATGTTTACTACATACTGGCTTTGCTGGGAACAGGGGTAACTAATAACAAGTTATGCTCATAAAATTAATAAAATAAATAAAAAAGAATTCACACTTGAACGTTGTGCCAGAGGATATGTTAAAGATTTTTTATGCTCTCGCTTAGTTCGTAGTTTACCAGTCTGCTCCTGGACTCATCCTGTTAAATTTTTTGTCCTTTTTACATTTAAAAACCTTTTTACATTAGATCTCTAAATGCTGCTATTTTACGCCGAATCACTATAAATGCGGGACTTCCCTTTTCATTCGAGTCTGTTGCCATTCGCCTTAAATGCAAGATCTTTCAAATTTAATCTGTCTGTTGTGGATTAACAAATTAAGCTATCTGTGAGAGCAACAGTTGAAACTCTTAAGAATATTCGTTTGTTACATTTCAATGGGATAGATTTAAAGAGCAAAAATACTTTCAATTAATGATCTATCTTAATTAAAAATAATGAATGTTTCATAGAATGACGTTATGTATTTTTATTATTTATTTCCTATTTTGTAAAATTTTAATGAATTTTTGGTTAACATTATCAACGATTTGAAAGTGAGCATTGGCAACGGAATAAAATGGAATGTGCGGTATGAAACATTTTTATCTACAGCGTGAGAGACTGTCTACCAGAAACTCTAAAGATATGCTGTTTTCAGATAGTTTTCGAATTTTATGCTGAATTGAATTTTATGTAGGATAAGAGCAAACAACATGATATTCAATAAATATAGTTAACACACAAAAATGTTAGTAATAAAAAGACAAAAAAAAATTTGCAAGCTTTATTGAATTGCATATGGCGTAACTGCGAGGAAAATGATGCTTAATAATAAATGAGAAGTTCACGAACTATTATTCAAAATATCTTAAGATATAAAAATATTCTGACGAAACATGATTTAAAAAAATTAAAAAGCATAGCGAAATTATTATAATTTCCATTTATATTTTCAACTTAATCAAAACGCTATACGAATGCATTTTACCTCATCATATAAGGAAATATATTATGTGCACGAAAATTGTTATATATTGCGTACTATGCAAATCCTAAGCGTTATGCAATTTAATTTTAGCTGTGGAACATTATATTTTTGCTATATTAGGTACTCTACTCTAGTACACTATGTTATAGCACATATTCTAAGGAAAGAAGTAATTCTCTTAATAAAATAACCAATAGTCATCTTGACAACATAACAACTGTTATACTTTACAAAAACAAGTTATTAGGATGCGTGTGTCTGCATGCGAACACGAGCGAAACCACGCTACTAACTGATATGCAGGTAGAGTTACAGTTACATACATACAGTTTATTTGCAGTTAAAGTTACAGTTTCAGGTATATGAAATAGTGCAATTAAATAAACAGTTAGAAAGTAAATAAGGGTTCAAAAATTAAGTTACGCTTAAAACACCACAGTAACCACCACATATTTAAAATACAATACACAGTACGTTATTCAGTATACGACGTACATTTTGTGATATATATTTATGTGTATAAAATTAACTGTCTACTTTTTTCCCACCGGAAGAAAAATCTGATTGATGTCTTAATTTTAATTCATTTTATCTCCAGTCATTTTTAATTCTTGGCTTAAAATTTTTATGAGCGCAAAATTCTGTACTTCTATTGGAATTGGCGTGTTTTATCTCAAATATTTTATTAAAGGTTGATATTCAAAAACTATTTTTTCAGTGCCTAGACATACCAAAACCATTTGCAAACCCCTATCTGAGGATAAAGTCAATTAAATAAATTATTTTTTTTTAAACTTACTATCCTTTAGCTTTTTATACTATCCTAATAAGCATAACTGTTTTTTAACCTTTGATTTCTATATGCTTTCTCTCTTTCTAGTAGATATAATCTGAGGCATATTATTTACAGTTATTTTAAATTCTTGGCATAAAATTTGTTATGGGCGCAAAATTGTATACTTCTATTCGAATTGGTGTTTTTTTTCTCACATTTGTATTAAAGGTTAATAGCATTCTGAAATGAACAAACAATTTTACAATGTCTAGACAAGTCATACTTGATAATTTATGAAACAATAAACGCTTAATAAGTCTTGATAAAGTCAGTTATTTTAAATTATATTTTTGTAAAATTTTGGACATGAAAAACTATAATAATTACAATACATTTTTGATTTGTATATGACTTCCCGCTTTAAAATAAAGCATTCTTGCATGGGCTGCAAAATTTTTTTTTTAATCTATTAGATTTCCCTTTTTAAAATACTTTATGAAACAGTTTTAATAGGAACGTAAAGAATTTTTTGTAATTAAATTCTCTTAATTTAAACTGTCTCTTAATTTAAACTATACTAAACTCAGTACGAAACAGCCCTGGTGAGCTATGGCCATCAGTGCCCCAATATCTGCTTTCCTGAAAGTGGGCCCCGGGGTGCATGAGCATATGCCCTGAACAAGTGGTCATCTGAAGGAATGAAAACATGAGTCAACCTTGCCAAACCCGGGGAAGTGAGCCCTGGACCTGTGGTGCTGCTACGAGACGCGCTAGCCACTGCGCCCATCGGGCCTCAAACTAACATAGGGAAAAACAATAAATGTTTTTCGTAAAACTTATTTAAATTTTTTGATTAAAATGGTATAAATAAATTGTATTTCAGTTAAACAGCGACGAGAATGTTAGTATCTACAGATTAAACTGAATATTAATTAAAAAAAAAAAACATTTTCTTTGTGGTCTTGAATAAAAACAACATAAACTAAAGTTGAACAACATTAAATTACACGACCAGTTAAATTGACGTCACGCTCCATTAAAAAGCATCTTAAATTACCCTATCGATAGTATCCCTAAAAAAAATAAGGTGAATTAAAATTCAGAATGATGATAACTGAGTAACCGAACCGCATTTTGACGTCAATGCTTTCTTTTTTGAATCAGAGGAAAACAGTTTTTACACAATCGTTGGTAATGGCATATTCGGCCATGAAAAGTCCATTTCTTGGTGGACGACGCTTATGCCACCCGTACCTTAAACTTAATAGGCTTGTGATTAATAAATTATTGCGCAATCATCTGCTTAAGACTAAAAATGTCACGTGAGACAGTAAGGAAAAGTTTCGGTCTACATGGCCTGAGGGCGTTTCCCTTATGAATGACTTAGGGTGACATCAAACAAAATATCTGGAAACACCATTCTTCCTCCAATCCATGTGAATAACGTGTTCTCTTTTTATGTTATTTGTTAAGTTATATAAATGTAGGCATCCACGATGAAACGATAGTTTAATTGCTTTCTCTCTGACAGCGTGTAGACATGAAGATTCTAATCATCAACATTTTGCTTTTGGCTGTGGGTAAGTTCAAGTTCAAAGTCGCTTGTATTATTTAATTTATTTAATTTAACCCAGTAGAGTGGGGTAAATAATACCTTTATGATAAAATATTAGTCAGTTCTTGTTGCACTGCAGTTTTCTGTGCATACTACACCACTCCCATGCATAACTAGTACTGTTTGATTAATAAAATTAAAGCCCATAGTCATCTTTGATAGGTTGGGAGGGTCAGAGCCTAGGCAAACTTAAGATAGTTTTAAAATTACTAAAGGTTTGAATGTGATAAAATAATTTCATAACGCTAAGTAATCATTCATGACAAATATTTTAACATAAAAATCATAAACTACATTTATTTTAAAATTCATAGCTTACATCTGTCAAAAAAAACTACTTTCAGAATTAATCATAAATGCGAAACATTTTAAATATTTCAAATTTATTATGTAATTTTTTTCATTTATCATTCCCTTTCCCTTCCAGGTCTTGCATTTCCCCCTCTTCTTTTTTATGTGTTTATTTATGTATGAATGTATGTAAGTCAAAGATTAACGAGGTAGGTACTTGTTAATGTCATACAGATGTGAATGTAATAATTTGTGAGTGGTTTCCTGATTAATCCTTTTTATACACTGCAATAATGTTACTGGTAATATTATTACACTTTCTGTGCCATCGTTATTTCAATTATTCCCCTGTAATTGTGTAACATTCTCAGTTTTCAAGGAAGGTTTCCCAATATTTAACATTAAAACACAATGTTCTTCCAAGCGTAACAGCGAATTACCTTGCAAAATTTGGATGGATTTAATAAACAGCAGAAAAAAACATAGAATAGTATATTTTAAACACTTTAAAACCCTCTAAATAAAAAATATTTAGGGAAACACATAAGCCAAACTACGTTGTTTAGTTATTTAAGTAATTTTGTAGCTGAACTGAATGAAGGAAATTTTAAACCAGACTACGCTTAAAGAACGTACGATATAAATATATTTTCAATAAGTAATCTGAAATTTAGAAACTTTTGTTTAAACTGTACTCTAGAAATAAACTTAAAAAATTTTTAATTTTATTTAACTTAAAATACATATTTTCTTACATATAATTTTATTATTTTTAAACATTTTTCCTTCCACTAAAAATAAGAAAAAAAATCAAAAAGATTTATAATTATGCAGGTTTTACGCAATACATTATGCATTGTTTAAATTTTAAAATTCATGCAGAAGTGTTGGAAGTAAACTGCACACTTAAGTATTCAACACATTTTTAGTATGTCGACTTCACTTCGCACAGAAGTTATTATTATTTTTATTTATTTATAGTACATGTGAAAATGTTAAAAGTAATAGAACAAAGATTATATAAATATTTGAACATTCTGAAAAAGTTTCAACTTGTAGTTAAACTACCTACTGCTAAACATTATTTAAAGTTTAGACTTTTATGACGGGTATTTTATTTTTATTCATATTTCTTTGTGCGAGTGTGCGAGAGAGCTCCATAAATAAATGTAATTTCTTTAAATGTATAAGCTGAGGAAGTAAATTTTTATTATTTTGCATAATCATTTACATTTTAAATATTTCTCCAATAAATTTTAATACCTTAACTTTAAATTTTCATAAGCGCTTATAAAGCGAATGCTAAATAAAAAGTAAACCACAAAAGAATTTTAACATGATTTGAATGGAATTAATAATTTTGTTGATCAATTACTTAAGATGTTTTAAATTTAGGATCTTTTCCTTCAATATGAAACGTTTTTTCAGAATTTAGAAATTACGTAAAACAGGCTTAAAATTACACCTATTTGAAAATTCATATCTGTGTGCTCATCAAAAAATTTTTTGTCTAAAGATCTTTCTTCTGACCTTCTTTTAAAAATATTTTATTTCTGGCAAAATATCTCATGCAGCAAATATTCTTATTTTCATATATCATTTAACGCATGTAAATGAATGCTAATTAGTAGTCTTGGTAACAAAGAATAAATAATTACGAGATAGTGTGAGAGATTTCCATATTTTGTTTCTTAATTAAAGTTTTAAAATACGATAATCTATGAAATTGTACAAGGAATCACATCTCATAGAAAGGTGCTAAATAATAAGAGCGATTAACTCAGTACAGTAATTTAACCGTAAAAGAAAACATTGTAATATACACTTATTTACAAAAAAAAAAAAAAAAAAAAAAAAAAAGAGAGAGAGAGAGAAAAAGAAGAAAAGAAAAAGTGCTCTGGGAGATACAATTATATTGTAGTACACATTTGTTTACAAAAAAAGGGGGGAAGAAGATGAAAAGAAAAAAGTGTGTGTGAGACAAAATTATATTTATGACATAACACACACTTTAAATCGTCTTCTGAATTTCTTCACCACTCATTTTTTTCTTTCTTTTTTTTTTTTTTTTTAAATGAGCCTGCAGTATTAACCTGAAATATTTAAACCGGAGCTTAAATACCAATGTTTAAGTTCTTTTTAAATTTAAAATTATTCTACTAAATGAAATTAATAATATATCTGATAGAATCTACTAATAATTCAGTTAGATGGCAGCAGTGATTTGATTATGTATATTTTATATTTTGTTTCATTTTGAAAACAAAAAATGCAGTGTCCATATTAGTGTTTATATTAGTGCTTCATAACGTTCCGTTTTGAAAAAAAAATATTCGTTCTGGTTTGTTATCAGGTTTCCAATATTTTGTGTTGCACAATAATAATACAACACAAAATAACGGAAACTTGTAAACAAACGACAACAAACAGCAATCCAGTATAATGAAAATGCGCCTAATAATGAAACTGACAAATGTATTTATATAAATGAAAAAATATTAATGTAATAATATTAATTCTATTATTTCATGCATTTTATATAGCCGGCAATGCCTTTGGAGCTGCTGTACATAATTGTCATTTAGAAAAACTGACAGCATGCGGAGATCCTTTAGCCGAATTTCGAAAGGAGATGGGACAAAGCTTCCCAACAACAGAAGATCAAGTGAAGAAATTTTGCGAGTAAGTTAAGAGACTTGTATTTCACTCTTCGTTGGTAGTTGTATATAAATTTATTCGCCTTTCCAAGGTACAAAATAAGAGAAAATATAAGGCAGTATACGATTCAGTAAAAGGAATGATGATGTTACGCAACAGGCACGAGACCCACCAGCGGCCAAGCGGTAAATTCGTTGAACACTGGTAGTTTCAACCTTGTCTCGATATCCGGCAAAAGTGTTGACTACGTGAGTGTTTTCGTGGTTTACTCCTGTGCAACTTGCATACGAGCGATTTCCTCTCAGAAAGTCCTCGATGAAGGCATTCCTCCCCTTAGGCAACAGATAGCCCAAGTGTGCTTTGCTAGTGTGCAAGAAGCACCGATTTTCTCAGTAAACCAAACAGAATCAAACACAACAAGCTCGATTGCATAAATTATATGGAAATAAAAATTCTTAGCATTCATAAAATTACTTAAAAGTCAAATCAAAAATTAAATAAAAGTAGTAAATGGAATTTTAAATTAAAGCCTCCTAAAATATACCAAGCTTTAAAAAATGAGTAAAAGTTTGTATTATATTTTATAAAATATGGTGGTATCTCAGTACTTGTGATTAATCCGTTCCAAACTATTGAATGTATACTAATCTAACGTTTTCATTAAGAAATAAAGAGTGAATAATTAATCTGTTTCTTTCTATAAAAATATCCTATTGTGGTTGTTGTTGGGACTAATCTCGTAGATCTAATATCACAGCAAGCCCACGAAATTTATCATAGGAAGGAGGAAAGATTGTGCCTGTCGTTGGCAAGTTCTTTGGGCACCAGGCAAGAGACAGTCCAACTTTGCTCCTCCCTCCCCAATTTTGAAGGAGAGCAACCCGGGGGAACGAGTCCGAGGCTCACCCACCCTTTTTCCCTACCACTAATCTCTCGAGAGGGCTTTCGCCTGGAGCATATTTACAGTGCCTCATCCCACTGAGACTACAGTAAGTAGTCAGTACATTTACAAAGATTCACGCTTTCTCGAGATGCGGACCTGGGTTACAATCAGAGCCACTAACCACTAACCGGCTAGGCGGCAAGACCTAGTTTCATTATTATAACACAGTTTAGTTCTAAAATACAAATGCAGTCGCTTGAAATATATATGTACTGTAAATGATTTTCGGTTTGTCAAATCAAAAGCAATTTTTCAACTTGGACTAACGTCTCGGATGTTTGTCTGGCGAAGTTAAGTTAGCGAATTGAATAGTATCTTTCACAATCTTTCACAATCGTGGACACCACCGAACTGGGTTATACGAGAAGCTATAGCCAAATTCCGAAATACGCACACTATCTTCATACTTTTCGACAGTCCTTTTCCACCTCCATGATAAATGTAAGAAACATCTTCGGTGGTTGAGTTCCTTTATTAACTTTCATAAAGCATGTTGTTAATAAATTTACAAAACTGGTAGGAAAAAAAAAAAAAAAAAAAAAAAAAAACTTGAAAATTTAGAGTTATAGTGAGAGTTGTTTACTGAATAGTAGCACCAAGCGTAGTGACACTCATAGACAATTTAAGGGTTGTTTGGAAATTGTAAAAACAATTGTAAGGCGCGTCGTGACACATCGAACTCAAGTCATATTCCAAAAAAAAACTTTCGCGTTCAAATATGACGTGCATAAATTTCAAAATGGACGTATCCATATGGTAAGCATTTTTAGAATTTAGTTTATTTCTTTATTCGAAATCAAGTACAGTCTTGGTTTTTATCAGATTTTAAAAAACAAGCGTAAAAAAACAATAATTATTTACAATTTTAAAAAATGGAAAAAGATTATTTCGAAATTAATTAAATTTATAAAATACAAACAAAAATTTTAGAAGTCATTTCGTTCTTTGATCTGGTTTATAAGTTTAATCTTAATTTTTATGTATAAAATTGGCAAAAAGTATTGAACATTTTCGGGATATACGGAGACTGATCCAGAAATCCTTAAAAATTTTTTTAAATTGCATTTCAGACAATTTATCATGCATAATAAAGCAAATAGCATAGAAATAGTTAAAACGGAGAAATTTTTCTAAATTTTTATTATGATTGTTTATTATAACTACATGCATTATATTAAATACCATTACCTAAACTCATTCTAATGTCGAGGCCCATCAGCGGCCGAGTGGTAAAGTCGCTGAACACTGGTAGTTCGGTCCGAGGTTCGAATTCCGCAAATGCGCTGGCTGCATGAGCGTTTTCGTGGTTTTCCCCATGTGTAACATGTATACGAGCCATTTTTCTTTAGAAAGTCCTCCACGAAGGCATCCCTCTCCTTACGCAGATAGCCCTCGAGGCTTTGCTATAATCGTAGACACACATACATTCTAACGTCGAAGAACATAAAATATTTGATTTTGTGACTTTCCTGTAAGTTGCAGTCTCACTCTATACTGAATCTCTAGAAAACAATCAATTAAGCAATTTTTATAAATGTTTCAGCTCTCACCTTCATCGTTTAGCTCGCTAGACTTGGAACCCTACTATTTCGATTATTTTCTCTTTCACTGGAGGGCATTTGCAGTTATAGGTGTTAATCACTACTAAGGCCTGAAACAGTGGTCACTTTACTACGGGGGCACCTTTAAGAAGTGGACCATCGTTGCCTCCTATTGAAGGGACAGATATTTATTCGTACATCCACGCCTTCTCCAGAATTCAAACATGGACTTTTTATGTGGAGTAAATAAAACTGAGATCACCTACCGCGTTTAGCATTAATTTAAAGTGCATCAACCTTGAAAATGCGCGGTTACAGCTGTCTTTCATCTTACTTTGTTTCTAAGATCTGATAAATAATGATGGCTGCCGCAGCATATTTAAAGAGATATTTTGTATTCCTCTGCGAAAGAAGCACCGATTAGCGGGCGTAGCTGAAATGAAACATTTATCAAGATTGATCTGTATGCAGAAAGAAAAGCTTTTCATTGTGTAGCTATTTTATGTATAAAATAATGTGTCCCTGGTTAGTACTGTCATAAAACGATTTAATTCATTTTATAATAAAATCGTAGAGTCATTAGAATTTTGAAAGCCAAAAGCGCAAAAAATCAGCTATGTCTTTGCCGTTATTTGAATTCTGAAGCTTCCGGTTGCTTACAGGACAGGGCTTGCTTTCCAATTGGATTGCGGGGCCCACGAGCGGCCGAGTGGTAAAGACGCTGAACACTGGTAGTTCGGTCCGAGGTTCGAAACCCGCGAACGGGCTGGCTCCATGGGAGTGTTCGTGGCTTTCCCCATGCGTAATGTGCATATGAGTCAGTTTTCCTTAGGAAGTCCTCCACGAAGGCATCCCTCCCTTTAGGCAGATAGCCCTCATATGCTTTGCCATAATTGAATAATCCAATCCAATCCAATTAGATTCCGAAGGCACTCACTTAGGGAAGAGAAAATTCCTTACATTCTCCCTCAATATAGATCGTCAAATCAGACTGCGAAGATTTAACGATCACCACATTTTAGTTCGAGTGCCATTTGTAGAGTCTTCAAGCTTATTTCGAAGAAGGAAGCGTGAAACATTTATGATGTTCTTGCTGAGATTCGAAATCTGGATTTCTCGATTACAAGCCGGATATGCTTTACTACAAAAGCCCATAGTGAAGAATGAGAAAATTCCTTACAATATCAAATACTTACATGGACATACAGTGTTACAGGTATAGAGTATTCATATTATGGTCCCCTTTTTGTATATTTTTCAGCTGTACACTTTTATAGATTAACGAACGTAAGAAAACACTTTATATTTTAATCTAAATAGATATTCTAAATATGTGCGCTTATTTAGATGTTACCGTATTTTACAATCCAATCTCCATCCTCTAAGAATTTGTTATAAGAACAACAAAAATCAATTGCAAATAATCACAAAATGCGAAGCAATTTTTTCTCTGTCCTTTTTTATTAATCCCCCCTGAGGAAATTCTCCAATAAATTCGATTTTGTTTCTTTTAGAGACATGGAGAAAGCTCAGAAATGTGCTGAAGATTACCAGAATAAATGCATGACTCCAATGCAGCTTGAAACTATGGGATTCTTAATGGAAGGGTCTTTAACCGTGTACAAGGATTTCTGTCAAGAAGGATCACAGCTCAGAACTGGTATGTAAATTTTAAGTTTCTTGAAATGAAAAAGTCAATTTATTCAAAACATAAATTCTAACAACAACCATCCCAAAGTCGAAATTCTGGAATACAAGACGTAGGTAACTTGAAAATTTGAAAATAAAAATGTGTACTTAAAAAAAATTTTACTTCTCCAGTGTTAGAAAAAAATTAAAAGGTTTCGGAATTCATTAAACTTTCTTTCAGATTCGGAAACGCATAAATTATGGAAATACATCCATATCAGAAGGTTTTGCTGCTTAATTGAGACATTTATTATGTCATTGAGTTATTAGAATTATTAAATTATGACTTTTTAACAAGGCCAAGAAAACAACCTTTATTTAATGCTATAACTAATATTTCCCTGAATAAGAAAACTGCAGATATCTTTGGAATTACTAATAGCATAAATTACTTTATATTCGAAAAGGAGAACAGAAAAAAACATATATGGCCTGGCTGCACTCAGCTGATAAATGTTGATTAATTTTTAGCAATGTTTGTAGAGTCATTAGGTTAATTGGAAGCAGAATAGATGAAAAATATGCAACCGCCTTCGCCGGGAACCCAACCACGGACCTCTGGAATGGACCTCAGCGTGCTACCGTTACACCACGATGGCACGCTAGGGAAGTGGAAGAAATACCTTATATGTTTTATGAGAAACATGGTATATTGATAGTTGAGTTTTTGATTAATTTCACAAGTTGATTTACTTTGTTTACTTCACTGCTCACCCCCCACGCAAATTTGGAGTTATGCTGTAAAGTAAAGCAATATAATAATTGATTCAACTTCATTTAATCTTTATTTAATTTTATTTATTTATTATTTCATTTAATCTTATTGCCAAAGGTACATACAACTTTAACGAACTTTCCCATTCTCATTCCCGTACAATTCATATCGTAGCGAGTTTCATGTGTTCGCTTATTCGATTCATCAGAGATTCAGAATCTTACTAATATTTTAGAATAGTTTTAGTTTGTGAGACTTATTTTTAAGATTTATGTTACAAAGAATAGGTAATAATAAGGTTTTATTACTTTCATAAACCTAAAAGCAAACTAAATTGCGTAACTCCAAAGATCTTTAGTGAATGATTTAACAACTGCCTTTTGAAAAGGTTTACATACGATAAAAAGTATAACAACTGTTGTAGCAGAAACAAAGCATCAATGATCGATACTACCTAATCCATTATATGTATCAAATAATTTTACACAGCAGAACAGTATGAAGGACCTTCATGATCTTGCAAAACTACCATTCATTTTTTAAAGCATCTCACTAGTCGCTGCAGAGTACTTAAGACCACTGAATTTTGGTTTGGATTCCAAGTGAATGAGCTCTCTGCATAGTTGACGTTTGAGGTGCAACGTGATTACGAGGCAGTTTACCTTAAAAACTCCTCCTTGTAGGCATCAACCTTATAATCAAAGAAGTTTCATTTAGGACTTTCATTAAAGAATTTTCATTTCATTCATCCATATTTCACCTTTAAAAATTTATTATTTTATATAAAATACTGCTTTTGAGGTATGCCATTCCAAGTAAATTGTTATAAAATTCCCTCTGAAAGGAAAATTAACAGAAATTGATATAACTTGGACCACAATCGTAAAAAAGGTATCCTTAGGATTAAATTTGTATAAATTCGTAGTTTCATACGTTTCTTTTTTACCGGAAATTTTTAAAATCAATTAATTTTATGCATTGAATATAAATTGCAAAAACTCACTTTTGTATAATTTATTAATCGTATGAATTATAGAAAAATTATTTCAGCCTCGCATTTGAAGAATTTCTTTCTTAACCGCATATGTATATACCGTCTCTCTAATAGTGGACTCTATAGATACATGCGATTACCTCAGTGTAGAACTCAAGAAACCTCAGACACATAATGCTGACCGAATCTCTTTATTGGCCTTCAAACATTAAGTTAGCTGAGGAACAGTGAAGAACACGGAGAAACCTCTGGATTCCGAAGCACATCTCGAAGAACTTCTGCAACGTTAGAACTGCAGTGACTCTCAGCAACCTAAAAAGCTCCCAACGCGAGCATAAAACCCCTAACGAATTGGCGTTTGATCTTTTTCTCAGTACAAAGATAGAAATACAATTTGCATAACATCAAACAACATATAAATAACATGTTCAGGTTTTCCGATATCCTGTCTGAATACAGAGAAATACCATTTACAAGTGCACACAATTTTTATCTCCACATCCATACGAAGAATATGAGTTATCACTTCCAAACTAATATTTTATTTGCATAAGAAATATACAAAATCACCATAAGGCTATATTCTGCTAGGAATGTAAAAAGCAGCAATCTAATAGTAGAGGAGATATTTGAATTATGATGTATAGATCAAGAAGTTTTGAACACCTACAAAATTCTTAAGAATGATCGCTATCTGATAATTTTGACTTCTAGGCTACGTGTAGCTATATTACTTAGATATAAGTTTAAAATATAAAGAATACACTTTTACAGGCAATAAATTGAACTAAACGAAAATAAAGTATAAATATATGTATTTGTTTATCTGTTACATAAAATGCAACAGATAAACAAATAAATAGATAAAAGTAATACAAAACATCTTAAAATACATAAAAAAACTAAAATACATTCGAAGAAGGACAAATATAGACGTAAATTTATGACAGTATTACATACAGAGGGAAATACTTAATTTAGCAAGCAAGGTAATTTATGCAATTAAATACTGAAATTTATAAATTTACACCTAAAACGGTTTTTAAAAAACAACTTTATAATAAGGGAAGTTTGAATTTGCTACATAATTGGAATTTAAAAATAATTTTCCTTTCCTGGTAAAGCACACTAAGCTCATTAATATAAAAATGATTGAAAACAGATAAAATATAATAGCTGTTTATAATATTTCAGTGCAGATTATATAAAAATAAGCTTGAAATGCTCATTTGATAAATTAATTTTATTCTTGATTATTTATATCACTATTTATGTATATAATCTAAATAAAATGTAGACATTCAGACTTTTCACACATGTTTCTATTTCAGAATATCTGAAACACGCTAAATGTATTGATGAGGCTTCAAAGACCGAAGAAGCAAAGAATTATTACTCTTACGTTGAAGCCAGTTTAGAAGATCTGTCTGACAAACCCCCCGAGAAACGTTTGCCTATTGCTTGCTGGTAAGGTTTACAGCCAGTTTTTAAACCAGTTTCTAATTTTATTACTTAGTGATAATATTTGAGGCTTGCTATGCGTTATAAAATATCAAAATTTACCTTCAACTAACAGTTCCCAAGTGTTAAATTAAAAGAAACCAATTGCAAACTTTCTTTGCTTGTTTATTTCACTATAATACAGGTTTAATAATTGGCATCTGAAGTTATACGATGAAGCCTTTAAATTGTATAGTTAACTAAATTTATTTAGAAAAATCTCAGGCGCTTTCAAAGGAACGGGAGATTTTGTAAATAGAACGTAAAAATAATGGATATAAATGTATTTCCAAAATTCATAGGTTTCTTTAAATATCTTAAAACTATACAGCATAAGAGATTATTTTCAAATGGCCTGACACTTGCTTTATAAGCATTTATTGTGAATGTCATAGTTCGTCAGTCATTTAGCCGATAGCCTATTATCATCGAGATCTTTGGCGAGATTGGACCACTCGAGCCAATGAAGTTAATAGAAGAAATAATATTTCCAGGACTGATTACAGAGATATTTGTCGTAGAGTGTTTAACTGTTTTAAAGGACTGTATTGTAAACAGAAAGAATAAAGTAATTACACAGTAATACTGAACATAGCGGCGTTATAATGACGTGCTTCTATATGCCAATTTGGTTAAATATATCCGTCTAATGCCAGATTTGAAACATTTGAGCATGAAACTAATATTTTACTTGTAGCGATACAAAGTATGGCAATAAAACTGAGTGAATGATGTCGTAAGATGCGCGAGCGCGGTAGTCGCCTAGAAATGAAGCCTAGAAAAGATAATTCTCGTCTTGTCTGAACATGTATGAGCACAACGTAGGAATAGACATTATGGATTTATTATTAACTCTGCCTAATATGCAAAAGTGTGTAATGTCTATAAAACTGAGCATAGAGTGAATTTAAAGTTCTGTTTCAAGCGTGATAAATCTGCGAAAGAAAGTCATTAATTTCTGAAATAGTTTTACGGTGATGAAGCTGTATTTATAAAATACATTTGTGAATGGTTTAAGCGTTTTCGGAATGGACGGGGTTCCTCTGTAAACGTTGCTCGGTGTGACAGGCTTACGATTTCTTGCAATGATGGAACCATAAAAAAAAGTGAAGAAGTTGGTAGCTAGAAAAAGAAATAAAAAATGCTAACATGTACCAATATGTTGAGTAAAATTTATTGTAAAGGCTTCGTTGTACGCCTAGACGGGCTGTCGATTCCTTCGGGATGATAATGTCCAGACGCATTTCATCATACCCATGAAAAAGCTCGTGGTCTGTTAAGGAGCTACAGTCTTCGATCATCCACAGGAACTCATATGATCTTGATCTAATAGTCTTCTTTCTGTTCTAGCTCCTGAAACAAGCCCTAAAAGAGAACGATTTTCGTATATTAAAGCATTCAAAGATAAATAGCGCGAGTACTCCATGTGATACCAAAATGGAATTTTTTGACTTCACGAGTCTTCCTTTTATGCATTTATAATCAGAGGATTTGAAGCTATGTTGATCTAAAAACACAAAGGCAATTTTGATCTTTATATTATTGATCTATTTACATGAATTTACTTTAATAGATTTTAAGGAAAAATAATCGCGATTTAATTTTAGCTTTTAAGTCTGTTTCTTTGCTTCTAGATTGTAAAAGTGTTAAGTGATTTATGAATATTTAAGATAAATATAACTGACATCGTGAAAATGGATGGTAGTAGTTAAGAAAGGAAATTCTTCAGGCCCCACCAGGATAATGAAGAAAACGTATGTTTCATACACACACTTGGTTGATTTGGGTTGTTTAAGGTATGACAGTTAATTAAGGTTTAAAAGAATAAACACAAAATTAGGTTGTCTTAAAACTAATTTATCTATATTGATCTCCTTATCACTGGTTTGACTGGGTTATATAATTATTTAGCCTTCAAGCTTATTATTAACACTGAGAATTCAATATATATTCCAACGAAATGTTTCCAACAGTTATTTGTATATTATGTAGATTATAATTTACATTTACTTACAGTGGTTATCAGTGGTTGACGGCTAAGTCTGATCAGATGGGTCGTGAAAAGTGCGGACAAGAAGCAGTTGATGCTTTCCACAATGTTGTCGAAATGGCAATCTCAGCTCTTCCTAATGTTCTCTGTTCAGGATTCGATCCCGAAGGGTCTCAGTGTACCGAAGTTATGCCCCCACCAGGATCTAAACCCAAAGGAACCCTGAGAAACTCCCACATTGCACAAACCTTTTCATCTCTTTACCTCCAAGACTGAAACAATTTGTAAAAGAACTAATTGCAACTAGTTCCAGTGGTTGAAAATAAAATTGTTATTGTTTGAAATACGTTCGTTATTCATTTTGTATAATACTTCAAACAAAAGGTTTCAGTCTCTCAGTTAAGTATATTTTTCTAATAGTTAATTGTTCATACTTGACAACATTTATTATAAAGTAACGGGATGAAAAGCACGTTTTATATATTTTAGAGCATATTGGCTGTGATAAAATCTAATTTTAAATCTTAATTACACATATTTTGAAAGATACTTGACGATACTATCTTGGAGTCAAAACGGAATTTTCTTAGGAGATACTAAAATTTATAAAATCTCTTTTCACGCCTAAAAAGCATTAAGATTAAAAAACACTTTTCTAATAATTTTTTAAAACAAATTTTAACGACATTAATTTGAAAATTGTAACAGATCATTTATGTACTATTTAGAATATAGTGGGTAAAATAAGGAAGTATCTTTAAACCTGAATTACAAATGTTTTGCAAGATACTTAGAAGTGCTATCTTGAAGTTAAATTCCTATTATACATACTCCATATCTCTTCTTTAGTTTAGAAGCATTAACATTACTAAAATACAATATATTTATTTTAAGGATTTATTATAAATATCTTTTCTATGAATTTTTATTCTTCAGAAAATAAATTCGCACCAACTGAAGGCTCACTCCTTGTCTTTTTAATATATTGTATATAATAAACCGTTAACTTAAAATCAGAATTGTAAGTACGTAACTAGATACTTAGCAGTTTAATATCGGGAGCAAACCGAAATACTTTTTAAAGGTACCAAAATATGCAGAATAGTTTCTTAATGCGTAGAAGTATTTGCTACTCCCATTTTACATCTTCAAATTTCACAAAATAAATAAAATATTATATTTTGTAGAATGTAGATAAAGTAGATTTTGAAATAAAAAAAAATTATATTTTGCCTTTTAACCTGTACGGGGAAAATATTATTTTAAATACAGAGGTATTAAAACATTTCTTTACTGCGCAGAAGCAGCTCTAAGAGATTTTAGCGACTAAGCCTTTATTAAAAACCGTAATACTCTACAGAGGTAATTAGAACTTCCAGCTTCTCTATTAACACATAGAAGCATTTACAACTCTAAGTTTTCTACTTTTAAAATATCACAAAATTAAGTTTAATAAATTATTTTGTTCAATGCACATAATATTGTCTGAATTAAAAAAGACTTACACTTTGCCTTTCAATCTTGATAAAGATATTTCTATTTTAAATACAGAGGTAATAAAGACATTCAAGTGACTGGCTTTAGCTATCTGAGAGATCGAACGCTATAAAAGTCGTAAATTATGTTAGAAGCATAATCACTAACAGACGTATTTAACATTACTTACAACAGTTTAGAGAATGATTAAAAGAAAACATAAACACAAAATTTTATTTTACATCGAAAATATCATTATTATTTGACAATAATTTCTCCTGATATAATTACAACTTCATATATGATATATTTACAACAGTTTATAGAATGGTTAAAGAAAAAATATAATCACAAAATTTTCTTTTACATCGAAAATATTAATATCATTTGCCCATTCAAAACTATTTAAGTGCTAGAGTTACTGCTCATAACGTAAAATCGTTTCTCATTTGTGCTATTTTCTTGACGTGCTAATTTCAATCTGAAGGAAAAGAAACTTCACATATGCTATATAATTTTTCTGCTTTTTTATTTTTAATCAGTATATCGTTTTCGCAGCTTTTGACTAAACCCATTCGTTCAATATATTTTCATGTCTTGCAATTAGATAATATGTAAATTAACTCAGTTTCGTTTCCCATTTATATATAATTAGGTGTTAACTCATATTTCACGTAAGAATCCCATTTTATAGAACAAGAAGACTTATAAAGTTACACTTCAAGTATACGTATTCTAAACACTGGGTGATCTTTTGTCAGAAGAATTTTTGTCACGTCTTTAATTTAGAATCCAGCAACACAAAGTAATTGCAACAAACGCAGAAAAAGCTCAAGCATTTATTTTTATTCGGTTTAAAGTAACCAGAAACTAGATACACATATCTTACGCACCGCAGAGTGGTAACGCAAAGTGTTGGATTTTTAATTAAAAGTTCTTTAATTCCCATTGTAAGGATCCTAAGATTTACTAACGTTTATTTTATTTTAAATCTTTACTATCACTTCTTATTTTCTACTTCCGGCCAGAATTAAAATCTTTAACTTATTTATGCAAATTTATCTGCTAACGCCAAGTACTTAAGTTGTGGCTTTTTGCCAGCAAGAGAGAGGAAGAATTGTGGAAGCAAGCCGCTTGCCATAGTAGTTACTCGGTTGCTGGTTGCCTTCAGGCCAAGGTTTAATCCTCTTGATAATTTCAAAACTATCGTATTTTACATCTCTGTACTACATACGGATTTTGTTAAATAACGGCCATCTAAAGCTAGGCACTTGTATATTATCCAAAGTTAGTTTAGTTAGAGTTTTATTAGTAGTTTTATATTCTTACGTTCAGACCCAAGTGGTGGTCTCTGTATTCCGAAGTTCGGAAATCTCTGTAAAGAAAAAAATAAAGGGTTTCGTATCCCTTCCTGTGTGTATTGTCTACTTCACAATTTATTGAACATAGCTTGAGTAAGCTCCCTGTTCCGAGTCAGGACAGTTCATGTTTCCAAAGCAAGTTAAGAGGAACACAAGTCCTGATACCATAAATTACGAAACATAAAAAATCAAAAGTCAAGCTTCGAGGGGCAGATGTTCTAGTGAAGGATTATGTATGTTAAAAATTTAGTGATGATGCGAAGAATATGCAACCATACATACATACATACAGATTCTTCATTATTTAATAGTGGAAATGATGTTAAGGTACGAGTAGGTTCGAAATAAGAATATTTTTCGAATAAGGGCCGAAATAAGGGCCATCTTATGCAAAGATGATTCAAATTACATATCATAATTTTTAATACATTTTTAAGGCAGTTTCCACAATTTTTGATATTTTAAAGCGGTAAAATAAGTTATTCGTACCGTGAATACTTGTCAGAGCTCCTGATATAAGGCATTTTCCCCTCCTTTCTGCATGCCTTCGTGGTGTAACGGTATTCAAAAGGTCCAGGTTCGAGTCCCAATCAGGTCTCTTGCTTCAAAAAATCCTAATGACTTAATCCTAATGACTCTCGAATGCAAAGGTGGTGGACGATAAGCATGGCTTCATGCTGTAACTGTAGCACATTCCGCGAGTATTCGAGAGGTCTGGGTTCAAATTACAGCGAGAGCACCGCACATTTTTCACATCACCTGCTTCTCGGGAAAAAACAAGAAGAAAAAAAGAAAAGAAAAAGAAGGGAAACCCTAATATCTCTACCCTGTCATTTCTTCATATTTCTAGCTAGTAGTACATTTTCAACCGTCAGGAAGAAATTTTTCAAATTTTATTTCTTATCTTAAAAATCGATTCGCTTAGAGGCAAAATTACAATAAAAAAATTCTAATTAGTGGTTATTATTTTAGCATATTTAAAATGATTAATTTTGCCTGCTCTGGATAGCCTTCAAAATTTTTGATATAAAAATAAATAGCCAGTTTTACGAAAGTCTAATGATATATATCTGCTGAATTTGTCTAAATTTGTAAGGTTAGGTTAAATTTAATTACCTTTCACCTACTCCTTTATTCTCAACTTTCCTGTGTTTTAGTTGACGTATTTGTATTTATCTAGACATCTAAAAATGAGAACAAAGGCAAAAACTAACAAAAAGTTCATTAACACTATATTTTATATGAACTACTGAAATTAAACAAAATTTATCTATCACTGCTTGCGGGGTAACAAAATTACCATTTCGAATATGTACAAGACAACAAATGGGTATAATGGCTAAAGAATCAGGCTCCAACCATTTGACACTTCTACATATAAATTCTGATAAATACAAGAAAACTCTCATCAAACCCTACATCAGCATACGGATTTAGTTTGATTTATGAAATTATAGCAAAGCACCGTAGGGCTATCTGCCAAAGGGAAGGAATGTCTTCGTGAAGTACTTTGTAAGGGAAACTGGTTTGTATACACGTTACACCTGGTGAAAACCACAAAAAACGGCTCTTTTCCTGTAATTGAACCCAGATCGGAACCAGCAGTGTTCAACGACTTTACCGCTGGTTGACCTTCGGCAAAAGCGGCCCGGCTCGTAAGATAAAACTGCTTTCCTGGAGCATTAGCAAAGAGCTTCTCTCCTTTAAATTACATATTCACTCGATATTAAAACGTTTCCTAATTTAAATTCTGGTGTGACTCACAAACGAAATAAAAGTTACAGGAAAGAATTAACATAAAAATAGCGTGTCATCTAAGCTTATAGGGGTTCTTTAGAAAAAAGAAACTACCGTCTTCTAAATAAATGATTATCTCATTTATCCTTACAGTTCAGAATTAGCGGCATTAACAAATGCGTCAATATTCTTTTAAACATAAATCAGTTTTTTAAGATTCTAGTTGACATGAACAAATTTTTTAGTATCCTTTTTGGCATAAAATTAGTATTTTAATGTGTAAAGTTCTAGAAGAGAGTGAAGATCGAAAATAATTTATCCAGTATTTAGATGATAAAATACAAAATTTTGAATAATGGTTTGTTGCTGCTTTAACAATATAATAAATTTCTACAGTTAATGTATAGAAAGGGTGCTTGAATTTTATTGTATTATAACAGAGACAATGAAAGCAGCAAAATATGGGCTATAAAATATTTTATAACCTCAACTTTTAAGACTTAATATTTACTAACGAACATCTCCATAATTTTGGGGCTGAATGCGGCAGCGGCAAAATCAAGAAAGGTTTTACGAGTTCAAATTTACTTTGATGGCCTTAAGCATAAGTTAATTAAAGGTCACATTTATTAAAACTAGAAATATGAATATAAGCATTGAATCAGCTTATCTAATTGATTATTATACTTCATAGTTTGATATTTATATTAACACATTTCTTGAAAAGTTATATTTTATTGCACACCAGATTTTGAAAATAAAACTTGAAA